ATATTCGTTTTGACGCAATACAGGACTACAGATTTGCAATCAATTCACAGGCAATTTATCGCTGACGACTGAAATACCATCTACCTGAGTCTGCCCATTTTTTGGAGAAGCACAAAATCCCGGAAACGTCAAAAATGGCTGATATTTACCAAGTTTTGTTTTTAGACGTAAAGAGTGTCTTCTTATCCATAAAAACGGAGTAAATATCAATGTACAAATAACGTAACGATCAAACATAGTGTTTTTTTCTGTGAAGTCCACATCTGTGTGTCGTGTAAGAGTTGGTGTAATCTCATGTATGACGGTTTGTCAACAGCCTTCAGTCGGAGTATAGATTCCAAAACAGTTTGTGGAGATTTCGCGATATTTTTGACTTACTTGGGCTGATTGAGATGCGGTTCAACAGGAGAAACTATATTTTGCTTGGCTTCGCTGATGGAGGCGTCTTAAGAACAAAAATTTACATAACGTCACATGCTTCCAGGCCAATCGGTGACCAATAAATTTCGTTAGAACTGATAGGCGTAATCTTTAACGTATTATTTTGTTGTAGGGGGCTCTCGCCGATCGTTCTTACGGAACTCACTCGTTCCGTCGTGCCTTACGGGCACTCTCTTTCAATCTTAAACATATTACAGTATGTGACCTATCTCATGAAATCTGAAAATGGAAACTGGTGAGAGAATTTCTGGACGCCTTTAACGTTGAGCATTTTGTTCGTTCTCCCACTTCCTTCAACAAAATGTCCTTCTCTTGTGCAAAAATTGTGTTTACGTAATTATATCAAGTCAAATATCTGTAAATTTTAGCGAAAATTGACGTTGGATGGCATTCGTGTAATTTCCTATACTAATACGTGTCTTAGACTCCGGTTACGCATCTGAGCGGCTTTTTCATTGAAAGGATATTAATTTGCCCATGAGAGGTTTAATAAACAGGTTTAGCCGGGCTATACATTTTATTTTAAATTCTATGATAGCCATGCTGATCCACCTGCAAACACAAAGGTTATTTTAAGAGAAACAGAGGTTTTATCAATTCCATCAACGGAGTGCAGTAATATAGCACTTCTTAAAGAGGTAACTTACTACGGAAAGTTTTTTCAGTGATCAAAGGCACATTCGTTGTTGACTTTCGTTGTGGACAGAAATTTTTCTCGAAAATGAAGTTTTATGTTTGAATGAGTCTTCGAATGTGACCCAAACGACCATCTTCGTGAAAAGGAGCGCCCGAACCCTCACTAATTCGGTAAATGCCTTCAAGAATAATCCTATTTTTAAGTTCTCAACAGACAGGCAATTCAGAATCTGTCTTTATGGACGATCGGGTGAAAACACTGAAAATCACTAAGTATTCAGCAACATTTCGAGGCCGATTTGAAATTCAACGTTATCCAAAACGAAAGAGAAGTGTAAATTAATTTAACGGAAGAATATTTATCTTTATAAACTCAAAATGGCACGTTCACGATCACGCCTGTCAGTTCTTTTAGGCACCGACCGGTCTCGTGGCATGTCACCTTATAAAAACTTTTGTTCCTACGACGTCTCCATCGGTGAAATCAAGCAAAATCCAGCTTCTCTTGTTGAACCCCATCTCATTTACTTTAAACAAATAAAATGAAGGAGGACTCACTGGAAAACTGTTTTGGAGTCTGCACTCAGAATGTAGGCAGTTGAAACACCGTCACATATGAAATCACACTACTCATTAAACGATATTTAGATGTAAACTTCACTAAAACACTGTTATTAGACGTTATTTTATGTTTACTTTTATATTTACCACGTTTTTGGTATGATAATACATTCTGTACATCTAAAAACGACGTTTACTAAATAAGAGCCATTTCTGACGTTTTCGGGATAGTGCGCTTTTCAAAATAAATCGGAATTTCTAAATAACGCCACACTGTCTTTAACAATTCTTTCGTATTTTTAATGCTTTTAAACTTGTAGTTTATTAACATAGAAATCGGACTCGTGAGATGGTGTCGGTTTGCGAGTGATTAGCAATCAATCGTAAATTTCGACACATTTCATGCGTTAGGTCACTAACTGTATTTTTTGTTAGGGGGCGCTCACCGATCGTTCTTACGGAACTCACTCGTTCCGTCGTGCCTTACGGGCTCTCTCTCTCGAACCCAACCAGCAGCCGCACAGCGGTGCATAGTATAGGCAGTATGTTATTACCGACAAAGACAAGGGAGACTGAAATGGCCATTTCTGGCGTATTAGCTGTCGTTAGCCAGTCATAACCAAGGGCCGAACCCCTCGCAGTTGTGTCATGCAGAGGCAGAGTATCAGCGAAACACATTTCTGGGCTTTTAGTTAGTTCATGTGTCCGGAGTACGGTATGGTATCTTTGATGCATACATTTCATACTACTTGTGGTAGTACTCGTTTGTTGAATTGGTATTACGTGGTTATTCTAGATTGGTCGATTGTATTCGACTCTTGGGCTCGTGGCCCAGTGGTTAGAGGCGTGTACATCTAACCAACAGGTCGCGAGTTCGAGCCTCGCGTGTTCCACGCTTCGGGATTGGATATGACTGACTGACGACGGCTAATAAGCCAAAACTTGTCATTCCAGTCTTGCCTGTCTTTGTCTGTAATAACATACAGCCTATATTATTTTGTGTTTATAAATAGGACTTTTTCTTGCGTTAAATTAACGTGTAATTTTAGTCTCTTCAGGATAACGCTGCTGATTTTCAGTGTTGTCATCCGATCGCCCATAAAGAGCGTTTCTGTAACATGTTTCTGTTAAACTTTTAAATAAGGCATTTATCGAAGTAGCGAGTGTTTGGACGTTCTTTTTCATGAAGAAGGTCGTTTAAGTCGAATTTGAAGACTCACTCAAGCATGAAACTTCATTGTCGAATAGAATAGCTGTCCACAACGAAAGTCAGTTACAAATAGGCTTTCCATCACAATTTGAAGACTCTCTGTAATAAGTTACCTCTTTAGGAAGTGCTTTCTTACTGCACTCCGTTGACGGATCTCTGTGTACTTTGCACTTTTGCACGGTGAGGCCAAGAAAAAAAATATGACAATTTTGGCCGTTTCTTTCACCTTCCTAAACCATACTGGTATATTTCTACCGTAAACGCAAGATTATATCTTTCATTTTCATTGTTTTTGCTCGCGTTTAGACTCCGTTCATCGATTATGAATGCACGAGAGAGCGTCCACATAAATACTGATATTCTGATGAAACTGCTCATGTTTGGCTCGTTCCATTTCTGAATAAGGCATTTGCGCAAGCTAGACTACACGGCGAGGAATGTTTCTTATCTTCAAGACTGGAAATGGCCATTTGATAGTGGTCATTTCGGTGACATAACGTTAAATCCTCTAAACGGCATAACAATTTCAGCCCATTTAAACGAAGGAATCCCTGTCTGCGTTATTACTGCACTTCAGGGCACCAAGTCGCACTGACCTGCTAATATGACTTTTTTTAAAAATCGTGAAAATATTTGGTTCTTTTAAAGTGACCTTTGTGTGGGCTAATTGATTACCACGGTTGAGATCGGACATAAAACAAATTCTCAAGTCCACAAACCTCTGCATATTAAAACTTCCGCGAGAAAATTAGTCACCTTTTAATGAGAAACATGTTCAAATGCAAAGCCGAAGTCTAGGACAGATATTAGCATATGAAATGGCACGAATATATTGCAACGTTCATTTTCGCTAAAAAAATATTTAATATTTTGCTGGATATAATTGCACAAACACAATTTCTGCACAAGCAAAGGACATTTAATTGAAGGGGCCGAATAAGCAAGCAAAATGCGTAACTTTTAAGACGTCCAACATTGGCACATAAGTTTCCGTTATTAAGTTTAACGAGATAGGTCACGTACTGTAGGTAAATGTCGTAGTCGACGTTACGTATTCATCTTGGGTATTTATTTGCGAACGGTACTAAAGGACTGTCTTTAAAATTATTCTACGTCAACTACTTTATTTGCCCGTTTTTCCGTTTTTTTTTATTTGCTCGTCTTTTGGCATGGACATACGAAACCCCACCCAGCCACCATGCGGTTTTCACCAACTCTCTTTATCAGCACAAAACGAACCAAAACCCAGTGGCACTAAGTGAATTATCGCAGACGGTGTCCTCATTAGCAAGTTACATGTCAGTCCATTTGGCTTTGAAAGTGCGCCATCGGTGGTTTCTACCCCACGTAGCCCTCACCAATAAAAATAACTCGGGGGTTCTGGCCTAAGCATTACACCACAAAACTGTGCCGACTATCGCCCAATAGAATCCGCACTTTGAAATCGGCCAATCAGGACCTAAAGGTCATGAGTGCGTGCGTGCGGGCGGGTTCAAAGAGCGCTGGCACTATAAGAGGCAGTGCTAATGGCTCTCGAGATCATTCGTCGATCCTGTTACGGTTATCACTCGAAATGGCGCTCGCAGACGTCGAAGTATTCGAAGACGCAGTTCCCCTGGTTCGTAGCTGTCCAGCCCTCAACGAGATTCGCACTTCGGGAGATTTCAAAGACCTCACCATAGAGGTAGCTCTCCTTCCTGTTACCGTTCTTTACACGGAAATTTGTTCATGCTTGTTAGGTGAAGCACGGCGCTATTCTCAATGCCCATCGCATAATACTAGCGGCTCGAATTCCGTCATTGCGAGCTGCTCTCAGTGACGCCCATGGGAAGGATAATTCGGTGCTAAAATGGCCGACGGTGCCTCTAAAGTAAAGTCATCCTTCTTTCTCGGATTTTGCTTTTGCACTTTCTAGCCTCGCAAATTCACTCCTCCAGTATGTGTACACCGGGCAGTTGGAGGTAACCCAAACGAATGCGATGGGCATAGTGATGTTTGCCAAAATGATGAGACTGTCTGATCTGGAGAATTGGGGAGAGCAATTCATGTCCAATAGGTAAGCAAGTGCCGGTTCTTTCTGTCTAACTGTCGGCTGTGAAGTGTGAATTTAGACAATCTGGCAACCACATGGGACTTTGCCAGATCTTCGAATATGGGATCACTGATGGAGACTTGCATCAATCTGATGCAAGCGCAGTTTACGAGTTTCGTCTCTTCTGACCACTTTGTTCGCCTGCCAGCTGACACCGTGCTGACTTTGTTGCGAAACGACAATCTGTCAGTGGACTCCGAGGAGGCAGTTTTTGAGGCGATTTCAAGCTGGGTGGGTGCCGGCGATAAAGAGTGCGATAATGAGAGACTGAGATTGCACGCCCCCGAGATGTTAAAGGAGGTTCGTTGGTGTCAGACGACTGTCGAATTCCGCAGTCGCGTAGTCGATAGTCATCCAATGTTCCAGGATAGCACCAGCTGTGCGTAAGTAAATGTTGTTTCAATTCGTCATTTATTTTCTAATGAAAGTCGCTTTATGGCTCAGGTGGAGCAGTGGATGACCTACGCAGACAAAAACAAGCCTCTGTGTCCCTTCAACCGACGTCGGAGACCGCATCCGACGATCTTCGTATTTGGAAAGGACAAAGAGCAGGACAGGTGGTCTGTTCTGCGTTTTGATCCGCACCTCGAAAAGGAAGAGAGGATTGCCGACATGGAGAAGCGAGAATACGCCACCTACAGTGTCGTGGGCGGTGAGTTGCCTGACAGTTACGCATCCCCTCTTCTGCGCACCTGCCTTGTTTTCCTCTTTGTCTAATTTGACCAGTTGGTGTCCCTTTTTGCCAGAATTATAACAAATACACACACCTTGCTGCCAGTGCAGCTGCCATCGCCGCAGAATGCATAGGATAGCAGTAGTATCAGTAGTAGTAATTGAGGGGTTTTTAGGTCTTGGCGTTGTCCATTCGCCTGGCCTGTCCCGACGCGTTTGCTGTTTTCCGTCTTCAATTTACCCAACCGTGTTTGGTTTGTGTCCGTCACTGGCGGCTACTCAACTGGGAAATTTGTCCATCCACGTCTTTTTGTCCGACAATGTTGTTCCCCCTCTTTCTGTCAACTGCACACCTTTTTTTCTTATCTTCTTTTATCTTTCCACTTTATCTTTCTTCCGGGCAATTTTATGAAACTTTTTTCTATCCCACGCCATCCCACGGAAGAGAGCATTTTCGTGGTTGGAGGAGACACTGCGCAAGGATGCTACTCCACGAGTGTCGAGGAGTTTCTGGTGGCAGAAGGGCGCTGGCGCAAACGGGCGTCCCTCGCTGTTGGACGCAACAAGCACGCAGCCGTAGTCGTGACGGAAGCCGGAGGGGAGACGCTTATCGGCGTTTTCGGTGGATTCCACAGTAACGATGAACGCCTTTCCTCTTGTGAAGTCTATGAAGTCAGTCGGGACAGGTGAGAGCACACTCGTCCTGGCGCCTCCTTCTTTTTTCTTGCAAAATCTTCCTGTTTTGCCTTCTCACTCTTCGCCTCCTCCTCCTCCCCAACACACACAGGTGGTTCAAACTGCCTGATCTGCGAGAGAAGAGGAGCTCCACAGCTGCTGCCTACCTGCCCGGCGACAGTCGAATCTTCGTTTTTGGCGGCTCGAATGGCCCCTGCCTGGCTTCTGTGGAGTTCTGCCACCTGCGAGCAGACTGGCGAGAGAGGGCGACCTCGTCGGACTTTTGGCAGCCAGCCGCACCCATGAGAACTGCACGATGGGGGCTGGCAGCGACACACTTTCGGGGGAAAATCATTGTCGCCGGGGGATCTGGTGGTGGAAACGTGGTGGAGATGTTCACACCACCAGACGCCAGGTGTCCCCGGGGCCAGTGGACACAGTTGGCCGGCATGAAAAAACACCGAGAGTATTTCTCTCTTCTCACCTCCACCGACGACGCCGTCTTTGCTCTCGGTAATGATGCCTCCTCCTTTGCTCTACACTGACTGCATTCCTTCTCCATTCTCTCCTCTTTTTCATGCCATTCCATGGCCTTTTCTGCGTAATCCCTTTTTCCGAGGAAGATTAAAACAGTCCGTATGATGACAACCATATGAAAATGTGACTTTGCATGTCTTTTCGACATCTTCCTATACACAACGAGGTTAGGGCCGATGGTAGTCCGTTTGCAGTGCAAATCGTCTGCTTATTAAAATAGATCTTTTTACGAGAATCATGTAGCCGGATGGTTAAAGCGTCTTCAGTAGTTACTGCGTTCAAAGCTTACTTTGTCTGCTCCGAGTTTTATTGAAATATATTTTAACTCGCGGTATTGTGCAAATCGTATGCTAATGTTGTCTATTTTGATATTTATGAAAGTAGAATTTCACTGGAATTTTCCACAATTAGCAGGCTCAGGAAACACAGTGGAGACTTTCACGGCACCAGGCGGGTCAGCTGATGTCAGCAACGACTTGACAGCTTGGAGCTGGTCGTCGAAGAAACCGCTGGAGACGCTTGCATGGATCGCTGGAGCTGCAAGCATTCGCATGTAAACTTCTGCGTTTCTTGATGTTTCTTCTATGATCCGCATGTTAAGAAATAAACTAATTGCAATGTAAGCTGCTTTGTCGTTTTTTTGAAAACGTCGAATGTGTGTGCAGTGGCCAACACCTAAGGCAACCGATTAATGGCGTGATTATTTCTGTTATTTTTTACGAGTGAGATGCTTATTTTCGGGAGTAATGCATGGCTTTGGGGAGAAATCATTGTCGCCAGCGGATATGATACTGGAGACGAATTAGATTTAGTGGTGGAGATGTTCTCACCGTCAGGTGTCCCCAGCGGGGTTACTAAACATGGCCTTCATTTTTTGTTAAAGAAAAACACCAAAAGGGTGTAAACTGTCCAACACTTGGGGTAACAAAATAATATCTAGCATATCTCTGCGAGGAATGAGAGAGGTGGTCGAGGTAATGCATGCTCATTTGCTCATTCGCAAATCGGAGAGCTTCTGGCTAACGTACTACTTATGGAGACGACAGGCTACAGGAATAGTTAGAAAGTGGATGGCGGACTTGGCATTATAAATTAGGACGGATATCACCAAGTCCTAATAGTGCCCCACTTTTAAAAACAAATGTATCGCATGAAAGTAGATAGACTGGTGTGAGAGTCGCTTTCCGCCCTCGCTATTGAAGGAATTCGACATAAGTGATTATGACCCGATATTACATGAAACGTTACCCTCCTTAGTAGTCGGTCGACGGAAAATGTTGGCAGCAGGTACGCTGTCTGTCTCCGTAGCAGAAACTTATTTATTTATTTAGCGGTTGAGCTGTCTCGGGATTTATGCATAGCAAAGATTTCACCGAGCACGACGAGCTCACATGAATGATGTCAAGGGTATTTGAGAAAACGCATGTTCAAACATATGCCTGGCTTGTGATTTAGTTGCAACCAGAGATACGATTTACTGAATCGGCACTATCTACATGAGAAGGCCCTGCTTCATGATGCGTATCAGGTGGGCAGCCAGTTATCAGGGGCGCACCTCGAGTTGGTGGCCCCTGGACCGTGAGGTGGCCTGCGCGCCTGACGAGAGAAAATCGATCGCGCTGGATGGATGACGCAGCTGGCAGATTTCGCCAGATGGCCGAGCGCTGAGTGCGATTAGAAGCGCAGGCAGCAAGTAGTCAGAGGCGTGATGCGCTGGATCAACACGCGGGCTAGATCGGGGTTTGTTTGGCGTTAATTGGAAACGTCCACTCAGGGAATGTCAACAATTGGTCTGACTTTGAGACACACGCAGACTTTGTCCTTGCTAGATATCCACATTTTCATCAAAAATGTCAGTTGCCGATGTCAGAAATGCCAGAGTCGGTTATAAAAACAATAGGCTGTATTATTACTTAATACTCGCGTAGATCGCCGTCAGTCACAATTTGGACATATCTACTCGACAGGTCATGAGACGAAATGCGAATATTTGCAGGAGTGCAGACGTTATTATTAAGAATATGCTTGTGATAGTATAGGAATTTCTGCCCATGCATATTTCACCCTCTGTTCGCCCCTCGAACTCCAATCTCTTGCTGTCTTTGTTCGAAAATGAACTTGAAACTTCAAGTGAACATTACTTTTGCCCTAGTGATCGAGTGATTTTCCTCACAGTCAAATAACACTGTCAAGGAAGCTCCAGTTCTGAAAATTAAATGGGCTCGGTCTCCGAAGTTGCTCCTAAGAGAAACCACAGTGTTCTTCATACTTACTTGATTCCCTCCGACAACGAAGGCATTACTAAGCAGTCATTGCAAATATCGGTGATTTGCGGTCAAAAGCCGTTTTACATTCAAAGTGAAACAAATACGATGGAGTTGTGATTAACAACGAAACACGCCATTCCAAGGTTAAATTAGTGCGGATTCGACAATCTAAAGGAGTTTTTCACCGAACATAGGTAGACGAAGTCTAGCCAAGTAGGATTTAACTGAATGCTCAAGTGCAATACGCGTTTCTAACTTAGTTATGGATTTCATGTTTTTCAAATACGCGTATTGATATATTCGCACAAATTAGATATGCATAATCCAGGACAGCAGACCAAAGGTGGGTAAGAGAAGAAGCGAAAAATGAAATATTTTTTTCTGATTTTAGAACCCTTGTACATAGAAACGGTGAACAAACACACACTGAATTTTAAACTAAACATTTTGTCGACTTCAGTCTGCCAGGCAGACCGCGTTTTTAACAAAAATTTCAGTTTTTAAATTCATAGAATCGCCAAAGTCAGTTTTTAGAACCAAGGATAATGTAAGAATTTAGTAAACGGCTAGATCGCGGAAGGTCACAATTAAAACATAGCTACTCAGGAAATCGTCAAACAAATCACGCAAAGCTGCAGTGAATGCGGGCGTTATCATTATAAACATGCGTATGATAGCATAGGAATTGCAGCTTATAAATATTTCAACCGCTGTACGTCCACAAATTCAATATGTTGCTGTCCTTGATCAAAAAGGTATCGGGAAACTCAAGTGAACATTATTTTCGCTCAAGCGATCGAATGATTCTCCTCACATCAAAATGACAATGCCAAGAATGCTTTACTGCTGAAGAATAAGTGGGTTCAGTCTCCGAAGTTGTTCCTAAGCCTAACTGGTGGGATTCGAGCCCACGACAGCAAAGAGAGGCCTTCGTACAGCCAACGATCTAGCCACTTGAGATACGAGGCCCCACCGCACGACTCGAGTTTAATCAAATCTAAATCAAGTTTACCCGTTCCATCTACAACAACGTTTGGAATCCAGATAACCTGATACAGTAAGCTGAATGTCTATGCATGATTCCCTAAGTAAAACATCTAGAATCCACCTGATGGCTACGATTCTCACGTAATTCATAGGTATTTTGGCAGATACGATAATTGTAGCGTCGTCCAATGGAGCCTCTTAGCACAGCTGAATAGAGCGTTGGCTGTACTAAGGCTTCCCCATGCTGTCGTGTGTTCAGACCCCATCAAGACACCGAGTGTTTCATATCGGTATCAAAATAACTGGTCTGTGTACTTGAGTTTAATACGGCGATATCGACAATTGTCGGTCAAGCTGTAATAGGCTCGCCTTGCGAATCAACATAAGGAGATATGGATTACTTGACATATTTAAACCATTGCTGTCGTGGGTTCCAGTCCCAACATGGCACCGATGTTTAACAATTCAATCAACGTGGATGCGTGAGACTTTAAGAAATATGTTCTGTAAACTGAAGGGGCTCTCGACTCTGACAGATAGGTAACCTTAGACTATACAGTGGTTTTACCATCAGTTTTGGCACAAAATTTATATGTCAGGTAAATTCCCCGCGAGCTGGTTGCAAACATGCAGCCCTGTGTTACGTCTTACTCATTGCATTAGGGCTCCTGTCATCATTACTGACAGATGCGAGCAGATCACGCCACTTCAGGTGCACCGATTTGTACTAAAATCTACTGATCCGATGCGGAGGGAGGTAGGGTGCTGGCTGGGTGGGTGGAGTTTCATGTGTGCAGATTGAAGGCGCGCTGGTGTTGTGTGTTAGCAGGGTGGGGCATCGATTCCCGTGAAAGAAGAGGATGACGCACTCTCTACTCGATCTTCTCTTCAGTCTCGCAACGACTGCCGCCCTGAATTATGCTAGCCCTTAGCCAAAGCTCAATGTAGCCATAGGCGATCTAGATGGCGGTGTGGAATTGTTGTCTTTCAGCGGCTGTACGTAAAACTAAGTCTGCTGTAGAGCGTTTTGTCGATCAGAATTTGGCAAACACCGGGCAAAATCGCACTGCTTGAAAACTGCTCAACGTTCTATGAAGTACAGGCTAATGGTTTGATCTTGGGCAGGATAAACGACGGTGGCGTAAGTGACAGAGTGAGAACGAAAAGGAATAGATCAGATGATGCGTCGGCTCCACGGTGGCATGAAGGCGCGAGACGCAGACAATGGGACCTGACAGGAGATGTCCAGGTAAACGACCCCCAGGTAAGCTAAATATTGCCTTCTTGTCTTTGCCCGCTCACCATCTCCATTTCAACAATGAGCTAGCTCAACGGCTAGACAACTTACCAATCGTCAATGCTGCCGTCGCTGCCGCCGCTGAGGAGAACGCATCCGTGGAGAACTGTTGGAACAAAATCCAGTCGCAGGCGCTGGCCGTCCTCGGATCGCGCATCCTGTCAACCACAACCTGCTCTCCGAGATGGACCGCCTGCAAAAAGCCTACATAGACCACCCGACCGACGACGACGATGACGACGACGACAACAAAGCAGCATTCTACCGTTGCCGCCGCCTTGTGCAACAACGTCTGCGCGAGATGCAGGACGCACGGACGGCCCGCAAGTCTATTGAGATCCAAGGGTACGCGGACCATATCGAAAGGAAGAACTTCTTCTCCGTCATCAAAGCCATCTACTGTCCGCCCGCCAAATGTATTGCACCTCTCCTCGGCGCTGACTGAATAACCACGCTCACCGAAAAAGGACACAAATTCTGCAGCGATGGGCCGAACAATTCAGAGGCGTCCTCAATCGCCCCTCCAACATCTCCGACACCGCAATCGCCCGCCCGCCCCAAGTGAAGACCAACGCCAACCTTGTCCTCCCGCCATCTCTCCACGAGACTATCAGGGCCGTGCAGCAGCTCTCCAGCGGGAAAGCGCCCGCATTGGATGCCAGCTCTGCGGAGGTCTACAAGCATGATGGTCCCCAAATCATGGAGCATCTGACGGCACCGTTCCAGGATATGCGGCGTCAAGGAGAAGTCCCGCAGGATTTCAAGGGCGCCACAATCATCCACCTATACAACCGGATAGGAAACCGCCAGCTCTGCGACAACCACCGAGGCATCTTCCTGCTGAAAATTGCCGGTAAGGTATTCGCTCACATTCTTCTCAAAGCCTGAACAATCACTTGGACTAAGGTCTTCTTGCGAATAGTCAGTGCGGCTTTCGCCGTTATCGTGGCACCATGCACCGGATCTTCGTCCCCCTGGCTGCAGGTGAAGCGTCAGGAGATGCGGACTCACCTGCCCTTTTCTTTCGTGGATCTGACGAATGCATTCGACAGGGTGAATTGTGACGAAATGTGGATAATCATGCGGTGATTTGGCTGTCCGGGACGATTCAGTCAGAGGGTGCCTCAGCTCCATGATGACATGCTGGCATGCATCACGGACGAATTCGCAGTCTTATATAACCCTACATGCTGATGGACGCATAACGCGACGAAGGCCCCAGGATCCGCCTCGCCTAAGGGACGGCTGGCCATCTCCTCAACCACAGACGTATGCACTTCCGGTCGCGTGTATCCACAGTACCCATCCATGAACTTCTGTTCGCTGATAAGCACCTCGGGATCCGCATCGCATACATAACTGTGTGCAAACTGTTTAACCACAGGAAAATGCGGATTTAATCGCGTGCCTCCAAAATCACCGTCCACTAGGAGAGTCAGACTGAAAAAATCCTTCTCAGCTTGTTCACGACATCCTCACGCATGTCAGCTGTACGCTGCTCAACCCGAGTTGTGTGCGATCATGCTGCTTGTGTTTGAGGAGCCAGGTCGTGCATGTGGCGCGCGTATACACGTTCACTAGACCCTGTCAGCCACCGCGCCAATTCCACGTTCGGACATTGGCTGCGGCCTGAAAAGGTGAAGGGTGAGTGAGATCGACGACTAAGCGGACTTTTCTCCTCGCCATAAACTATCTGAAGCTATCACGGTGCACTAAAAGCCCTGGCTTGGAAGGCTGCCAGCTGACGGAATAACATGGACCTCGCAGTCGACCTAATATGTTTGTGTATGGAGTGGCTGGCTGGTTCCAATGACTCCTTCTTAATGTGGCCTCTATGACACTCCCAATGCAAGAGATCCGAGCGGGGTGTGGCGGCACGCCTAGGTGCCGTTTCGGCCGCGCCAGCCTCAATTCTTAGTTCTTGTAAATGTTGTTGTTGGTCAAAATCCCGGTTGTTTGGGGTTTGGACCAGTGGGTGGGAAGTGGAACGCCAAGGTGCGGGCTCGACAGTACCATCTTCCTGTGCCCTCCCTCCCCTCCGGTTTTCTGGACTCTGTCTTGACGGCGGGTCTAAATGGGGAGGAGAAGAGTGCGGTAGATACAGCTCCTCCTCCTCCTCCTCCTCCTCATCCTCCTCCTAGTCCTCCTCCTCCTCATTCTCGCCGCCCATCTCGCCAGATTGGAAGGGTGAGTCCGCTTACTCTGGAAGCCGGCAGCCCAAATCTACTGGCATTATTTACCCTTGCGCAATTCACCGTACCTGCTTCCGCATCTGCTGTGAGGCACACGGTGGAATTCATCGAAATCTATGGTCGAAATATCACGCGTGTGTGTGTGTGTGTGTGTGTGTGGGGTGTAGGGGTGTACAGCGGTGGGTTCACGTGATGGTTGTGGTGGTCGCTCACTTGCTCGCAGGTGAGACTACGCCTAGCGTCCATTCGCTGGCACCCAACACTCACATCTGGCACCACGTAGCTGGGCTCTGCTCAGCGGCCACACCCCGGGCAACCGCCTCGACCGGCGTGCTAAACCAGGTGAGGGTATCCGTGCGTGCACCTGCACGCGCGGTACTGTGGTCTGCGCTGGACGGATGGATCTTCGCGTCGACATCGTCGAGACGATGCTCTGCCTGGACCATCGCAGGAGGCCACAAGGTAAGTTTCCCCTAGGTAAGTGCATTTTCTCTGTTTCTTCCTTTTGTCTGTTGAAGTTCCGTGTCGTATGCTGCTCTTACTGCCTGCCCTCTGTATGCTATTCTGTCTAATAATAGCTAGACGAAACCCTCGCTGCCTGCTGCGATTGTCTGTCCGTCAGTCTATGCCACTCTCTACTAATAGCTAGGTGTTACGATGCTTGACTTTGAGTGGTGCCCTCACTTTGTTTCTAACTGGTGACTGTGTCCGCTTTTCCACTCTAGTTCTAAGTCCCATAGCGTTAGGTAGTGTGTATGCTCTCTCTTACTTCACTTTATCACATCATCACCACCACCAAGGTCCCAGGCTAATTCGGGTCGTTCTCTCACTAACAAAAAGTCGTGGCCCATAGTGGAGTCCAGCAGCCGTCTGGGATAACCGGGCAGCCCTGTTCAGGGATGCGTTGCCTGCCCCCGCGAGAGGGAGGGGGCTAGAAAAGGTGCCCTAAAGATCGCTGGGAACCACGCTGTCTGTAGGCTGGCCGTGGCCGCAGACAAAAAACACACCGTCGAAACAGCCAAAACCAAAACAACAACAACAACAATCACTCTCTTCCTCTTCCAGCATATTCTTCTACTTCACCTACTCCTACATTTCGCCACCGCAGTCGCCAGACTGGCATCGTGGGCCCGCTCACTCTGGCAGCCTGGAATGTTCGTTCCCTTTTAGACAATCCAAGGAGCAACCGACCGAAACGGAGGACGGCGCTAGTGGCACGAGAACTGGCGCACTACAAGGTGGACATCGCCGCACTCAGCGAGACCCGATTCTCCGAACAAGGCCAACTGGAGGAGGTGGGTGCCGGCTACACCTTCTTCTGGAGTGGTCGACCCAGAGCAGAGCGACGAGACGCGGGCGTCGCCTTCGCCATCCGGAACGACATCGTGGGACGACTGCCCTGTCTACCGAAGGGAATCAACGATCGCCTGATGAGCCTCCGCCTGCATCTCCCCCGGGGTGGGGTCAAATTCCCCACCATCATCAGCGCCTACGCTCCCCCGATGACCAGCCCCGACGACGCACGTGACGAATTCTACGAGGACCTGCACGCCCTCATGGCGACTGTGTCGAAGGCGGACACGTTGATTGTCCTTGGTGACTTCAACGCCCCCGTCTGAACAGACCATACTTCCTGGAGCGGAGAGCTGGGTCCCCATGGTCTCCGCGAATCCAAAGACAACGGCCTGCTGCAGCTCCACACCTGCGCAGAACACCGCCTCATCCTGACGAACACGTTCTTCTGTCTTCCGGAGCGAGGGAAGGCCACCTGGAGGCATCCTCGGTCGCGTCAGTGGCACCTGCTGGACTATGTTCTCGTCCGAAGGCGTGGCCAGCGGGACGTGCTGGTGACGAAGGCGATCGCGGGTGCTGATGGGTGGACCGACCATCGCCTCGTCATCTCGAAGATGCGTATTCGCCTACAGCCTCGCAGGAGACCACAAGGTAAGCGACCCCCAGGTAAGCTGAATGTTGCTTTGTTGTCTTTGTCCGCTCACCGTCTCCATTTCAGCAACGAGCTAGCTCAACGGCTAGACAACCTTCCAATCGCTGCCACCGACGACGCCGCCGCTGCTGCCGAGAACGCCTCCGTGGAGAACCGCTGGTGTCAACTGCGAGACACAGCCCAGTCGACGGCGCTCGCCTTCCTCGGTCGCGCTCCCCGTCAACACCAGGACTGGTATGAAGACAAGGATGTCGCCATCAGAAAACTGCTGGCTGAGAAGAACCGCCTAAACAAAGCATACGTAGATCACCCCACTGAGGACAACAAAGCTGCCTTCTACCTCAGTCGCCGCCAGCTTCAGCAACGACTGCGCGAGATGCAGGACGCCTGGACTGCTCCCAAAGCTGAGGAGATCCAAGGGTACGCGGACCGCAACTAATGGGAGAACTCTCTCTCCGCGATCATGGCTGTCTACGGTCCGCCGACGAAGGGAACTGCTCCTATCCTCAGCGCCGACGGTAGCACTCTCCTGACTAAGAAGACGCAAATCCTACAACGATGGGCCGAGCATTTCCGGAGCGTCCTCAACCGCCTATCCGTCATCTCCGACGCCGCCATCGCCCGCTTGCCGCAAGTGGAGACCAACGTGGACCTCGACCTCCCGCCATCTCTCCAGGAGACCATCAGGGCAGTGCAGCAACTCTCCAGCGGGAAAGCACCCGGATCGGACGCAATCCCTGCTGAGGTCTACAAGCACGGCGGTCCCCAACTGATGGATCACCTGACTGCTCTCTTCCAGGAGATGTGGCTTCAGGATGAAGTCCCGCAAGATTTCAAGGACGCAACTATCGTGCCAAGTCTGCGACAATCACCGCGGCATCTTCCTATTGAACATCGCTGGAAAGATATTCGCCCGCATCCTGCTCAACCGCCTCAACAACCATCTGGAACATGACATTCTGCCGGAAAGCCAGTGCGTCTTCCGTCGTATTTGTGGGACCACGGATGTGATCTTCGCCGCCCGCCAACTTCAGGAGAAGTGACAGGAGATGCGGACCCACCTGTACTCTGCCTTCGTGGACCTGACGAAAGCCTTCGACACGGTGAATCGTGAAGGACTGTGGAAGATCATGCAGAAATTCGGCTGTCCGGAGCGATTCACTCAGATGGTGCGTCAGCTGCACGACGGTATGATGGCGCGAGTCACGGACAACGGAGCTGTCTCAGAGGCATTCGCAGTGACCAACGGAGTGAAGCAGGGCTGTGTGCTGGCGCCTACACTCTTCAGTCTTATGTTCTCTGCCATGCTGATGGAAGCCTACCGCGACGAACGCCCTGGAATCCGCATCGCCTAGAGGACGACGGTCATCTCCTGAATCACCCCGCGTATCCACAGCCTACCGTGCACGAACTTCACTTCGCCGAAGACTGCGCCCTGAACACCACCTCGGAAGAAGAGATGCAACGCAGCATGGACCTGTTCTCTGCCGCTTGCGAGAACATTGGGCTGGTTATCAACACGCAGAAGACGGTGGTGATGCACCAACCTCCGCCCAAATCAGCCAGAGCCCCCAACGCTCCGCCGCACATCAACGTGAATGGGACGCAACTGCAAGTGGTAGAGAACTTCCCGTACCTGGGAAGTACCCTATCTCGCAACACAAAGATCGATGACGAAGTTGCCAACAGAATCTCGAATGCCAGTCAAGACTTCGGACGCCTCCGAAGCACAGTCTGGAATCGCCACGGTCTTCAACTGAGCACATCGCTGAAGATGTACAAGGCCGTCATTCTGCCGACGTCACTGTACGGAGCAGAGACATGGACGGTGTACACGAGGCAGGCACGTTGACTGAACCACTTCCACCTCAGTTGTCTTCGTCGCATCCTGAGGCTGAACTGGTAGGAACGAATCCCCGACGTAGAAGTACTGGAACGAACGGGAATCCTCAGCATCTACGCCATACTGAGACAAATGCAGCTGCGCTGGAGCGGCCACCTGGTGCGCATGGACGACGAGCGACTACCCAAACGACTCTTCTACGGAGACGTTGCGACGGGTTCTCGTCGTCAAGGAGGCCAAATTCGCCGCTACAGGGATACCCTGAAGTCCTCCCTGAAGCGCCTGCAAATCAACCCGACCAACTGGGAAGAGCTCGCTCGCGATTGTCCGACATGGAGGAGAACAGTGAAGACGGGCGCTGCTATCCACGAAGCCAACCGCATCGCCGCCGCAAAAGTGAAACGTGAAGCCCGCAAATCACCATCTCGCCCAGTACGTAACGCTGCCGCACAACCGCTCCCTACGTGTCCTCGATGTCAACGGACATTCCGCGCTCGAATCGGACTTCTTGGACATCTTCGGATCAACTGCACCTCTCGAACTGCACCAATCATCATCCCCCCGCCCGCCTCTTCCTCGTCCTCTCTGCCGCCAACTAACTCTGACTCTCCTTCTGCACCACCACTTCCATCCCCCTCCATCTCCTCCACTGCCCCAGCGGCGGCCGCTTAGACTGCCGTCTCACGCATCACCAACCCCGACACAACAATCGTCACCACCCGCACCTCTGGCGATTCCAGTGATGTGGATCAGGGCTACGCCTGCCCTCACTGCGATCGCGCCTTCACCTCACGCATCGGCCTGGTCGGTCACTTGCGAATCCATCGCACAGAGACGGGCGAACCAGTGCCTGGAGCACCAACCTACACCCACCGCACTCGCCTCCACTGCCCACACTGCCCTCGCACCTTCACTCATCGCATGGGTCTATTCGGCCACATGTGCATCCACGACGACCTGCGGTAGACAACCGCCGGTCACACCACACATTCCCTCACTCCCTACCTCCTAACACCATCACCCCACCAGACCTCAACCCCCACACACCTCATGCACTCAACTGCCGCCTCCCACGCAAGTGGGAAGTGTGCATCTCGACTCGGTCCACATGCGGCTTCGGCTGCACGGGTGACTTGTGTCCGAGACTATCCCGACACGTCAAGTGTCGTTGATAGTAAAATTGCTGTTTGACCCCCGCTCTCGGTTCACGCAGTTCGTCACGTTGTGTGTGTGTTGTGTGTAGTGGCGGACTGGTGGGCTGGGGACGGGCTGAAGCAGCACCTTCCACGGCCCTCTCACGCAAGTGAGAGACAAGCCGTTCAACCCCCGTTGTGTGAATTCCTGGTGTTTGTGTGTGTATGGGGGGCCAGGTCGTGCCGTGGCGCGCGCAGGCATGGTCCGTCGACCATGACAGCCACCGCGCCCACTCCCCACTCCGGTCTTCTGACCTGCTCGGACGGTGGCTGGTGTGTGGAAATGGGAAGAGAGAGTGAGGTCGACGACTCAGCGCACTTTGTCCTCACTGTAAACAATCTGACGCGCTTGAAGCTATCACGGTGCTCTAAAAGCCGTGGCTTGGATGTTTGCCAACTGAAGGGATATCTTGGACCTCCTCCTTCACTGGAGGCGGTCTGAGAGTCAGGCTGCAATGGCTCCTTTTTAATGTGGCCTTTATGGCATTCCTACCACAGTGTGGGATCCGAGCCATGCGTTGGTGGCACGCCCAGGTGCGGACTCGGCCGTGCCAGCCTCCAAATCTCTGTTGTGTTGGTTGAAATCCTGGTTATTGCTGTGTGGACCAGGGGGTGTGGTGGAACGCCAAGGTGAGGATCCGTCCGAGTCATCCATCTGCGGCCTCCCTCGTCTCCGGTCTTCTTGACTCTGTCTTGACACCGGACTCAGGGGAAGGAGGAGGAGAGAGTGTAGGTAGATGCTGCGCAAGAATACTGGCACTATAAACCGCTTCGCAAGTCACCGTCCCTGCTCCCATTGCTGCTGCAACTGTGAGGCACACGGTGGACATCATCGAAACCGATGGTCGAACTGGCATGTGTTTGTGTGTCAGGAGGCGTCAAGGGATGACGCAAAATTCCATGTGGGACTGCAGTGTAGATCGAGATCCCTTCCGCTTTTAATCTGTAGTTCTAATGCTAATCGGTGCACCTATTCTTCTGCGAGGCTTCTTGTGACTGACACCTGGTTTGTGATTGATGCGCGACGAACTCAGATTCGATCGCAGTCCGTGGACGTAGATTCCGCATGTGGCCGAATGCGGACAGGGGCGTCCCTAGATGATATTTTGATATTTATGAAAATAGAATGTTATTGGAATTACTTTAACATTGCAGGCTGTTGGAATGGATCAGGATACAGGGCGGAGACTTTCACAGCACCAGGCGGATCAGCTGATATCAGCAACGACTTAACATCTCGGACCTCGTTGTCAAAGAAACCACAGGAGTCTCTCGAAAGATAGATGGAGCTGCAAGCATTCGCATGTAAACTTCTGCGTTTCTTGATGTTCCTTCTTTGATCCGCATGTTAAGAAATAAACTAATTGCAATGTAACCTGTTTTGACGTTTTTCTGAAAACGTTGAATGGTGTGGAGTGCCCTACAACTAAGGCGACCGATTAATAACGTTTTTATCTCTGAAAGGAATGAAATGAATGAATCAGTTATTTTTTACGAGCGAGATGCTCATTTTGTCGAACAAATGCATGGCTTCGGGGAGAAATCATTGTCGCCAGCGGATATGATACTTGAGAATAATTAGACGTAGTTCTGGAGACTTTCTCACCGCCAGGTGTCCCCAGGGCAAAAAACATGACATCCCATTTTTATCTTAAAAAAAAACTCCGAAACGGTGTAAATTGTTCAACACATGGGCTGAAAAATATTCTCTAGCATATCTCTGCGAGGACTGAGGGATGTGTTCGAGGTATGTTTGGGAAGGAGGTGCCCATTTGCTGACGTAGTGAGCAACACTGGTAAGATCGCAAATCGTAGACCCTGTGTTAATATAAATGGCAAACGTACAACTTACGGAGGCGAAAGGCTACAGGAACAGTTAGCGCGTGGATGGCGGACCTGGCACTTTGAATTAGGACAGATGTCGCCAAGTCTGAATAGTGTCCCACTCCTTTAAGCAAATATAGCCCACCCCCACGAAATGCGTTATACTGTTGTGTGAGTTGCTTTCGGGCTTCGCTATTGAGGGAATTCTGCATAAGTGACTATGACCTGATATATCATGGAACTTTACCCTCCTTGGTAGTCGGTCTACGGAAGATGTTGGCGGCATGTACGCTGTCTGTCTTCGTAGCAGCAACTGATCCGTTACTTCCTCTGAGAAAGATTTAGTGGTTAGGCTGTCTCGGCACATATGCTTAGCAAAGATTTCACCGAGCACGACAAGCTCACATGAATGATGTCAGGGGTATTTGAGAAAACGCATGTTCTAACATAACCCTGGTTAGTGATTTGGCTGCAACCAGAGATACGATTAACTGAATCGGCACTATCAACGTGAGAATACCCTGCTTCATGATGCGTACCAGGTGGACAGTCAGTTATCAGCGGCGCACCTCGAGTTTGTGGGCCCTGGACCGTGAGGTGGCCTGCGCGCCTGACGAAAGAAAATCGATCGTGCTCGATGGATGACGCAGCTGGCAGATTTCGCCAGATGGCCGAATGCTGAATGCGAGTAGAGGCGCCCCTAGATGACCTTGACGGCAGGCCGTCTGTGGCGTGCGCAGTCGTTGAGCGTGTACGTACCTGAACAATGGCAGTGTCCCTAAAACCGCTCAAGCGGCAGATGCGCTGAAAAACATGCGGACTAGGTCGGGGTTTGTCTGGTGTTAATTGGAGACGTGCGTTCAGGGAATGTCAAAATTGGGTCCGACTTTCAGACATACGTAGACTTTTTCCTTGCTAGATATCCACATTTCCCTTAAAAATATCAGTTACCGATGTCAGAAATGCCAGTCGGTGTAAAAACAAAAGGCTGTTTTATTACTTAAAACACGGGTAGATCGCCGTCAGTCAAAATTTGGACATATTTACTCGACCGATCAAGAAGCGAAGTGAGAGTATTTGCAGTGTGATCTTAGAGGAATTTCAGACTATGCATGTTTCCCCCTCCGTTCGACCCCCAACTTCAATCTGCTGCTTTCCTTGTTCGAAAATGAACTTGACAACTCAAGTGAGCATTACTTTCGCCTTAGTAATCGAGTGATTTTCCTCACAGTAAAATAACACTGTTAAGGAAACGCTAATTCTGAAAATTAAGTGGAGGTGTCACGTTGGTCGGCCTCCAACGTGAGACGCCACTTGGGATTTCTGGTCGATAAAGTGCATTTCATGCTTTGACAATGGAGAGCCGATCAAGCTCTTCGGAAAGGCAGCATCTTAGTAAACCTGTTCCGGTGAACCCATCTTCTTCTTATTCTTCAAATAATCAATCCGGATCTCTCAACTTTGCCAATCTGAACAGATCGGGGTCTGTTTGGCATTAATTGGAAAGGGGCACTCAGCAAATTTCAAAATTGTGTCGACTTCAGCCTGCCACGCAAGCCGCGCTTCTAACAAAAATTTCAGTTTTCAAAGTCATAATATTGCCAAAGTCATTTTTGAGAAAAAATGATGATGTAAGTAATCAAAAACAGCTAGATCATAAGCAGTCACAATTTAAACATATTTACTCGGGAAATCGTCAAACGAATCAAGAAAAGCTGCAATGAATGCGGGCTTCATCATTATGAACATGCGCACGATAGCATAGGAATTGCAGCTTATAAAAATTTCACCCTCTGTACGTCCACGACATCAGTCTGTTTCTCTCCTTCAGGCATAATTTCCTAATTAATGCATCTAAAGTCCACCAGACGGCCACCGGTCTCACGTAATTTATAGGTGTTATGACAGATACGATTAGTGTAGCGTCGTCCGGTGGAGCCTCTTAGGTCAGTTGGCTAGAGCGTTGGCTGTACTAAGGCTTCCCCATGGTGTCATGTGTTCAGACCCCATCGAGACGCCGAGTACTTCATATGCGTCACAAAATGACTCGTGAGTGTACTTGAGTTTCATATGGCAATATCGACAATAGTCGGCCAAGCTGCAATAGGCGCGCATTACGAAAAAACATAAACAGATATGGATTATTTGACATAGTTAAACCATTGGTGTCGTGGGTTCAAATCGCACCATGGCAACGAGGTCTAACAACTCGATCAACATGAATGCGTGGGACGTTAGGAAATATATTCTGTAAACTGAAGGGGCTCTCGGTTCTGACGTATAGGCAACTTAAGACTATACAGGGGTTATACATTTAGGTACGAATGTTGCACTCATTGCATTAGGGCTCCAGTCCTCATTATTCACAATCCAAGTGACAGACGTGAGCAGATCACGCCACTTCAGGTGCATGGATTTGCACTAAAATCTACTGATCCGATGCGGAGGGAGGAAGTTGGCTGGGTGGTGTTTCGTAAGTGCAGATTGCAGGCGCCCTCGTGTTGCGTGCTAACAGGGGGGCATCGACCTCCGTGAAAGAAGAGGATGACGCAATCTCTACTGAATCTTCTCTTCAGTCTCGCAGAGACTGCCACCCTCAATTACACCAGCCCTTCGCCTAAGCTAAATGTAGCCACAGGTGATCAAGATGGTGATTGGGAATCGCCGTCTTCCAGCTGCTGTACGTCAAGCATAGTCTGCTGTGGAGAGTGTTTTCGATCAGAGTAAGGTACACACCAGACCAAATCGAACTGATGTAAACTGCACTAGGTTCTGTAAAATACCGGCTTCTGTTTTCATCTTTGGGGTTATAAACGACGGTGGCGTAAGTAACAGAATGAGAGCCAGAAAGATTAATTCAGATGATGCGTCGGCTCCATGGTGGCATGAAGGCGCGATTAACAGACAATAGGACCTGACAGGAGATATCATGAAAAATGACACCCAGGTAAGCCGCATATTGACTTGTTGTCTTTGCCCGCTCACAATCTCCATTCCAGCAATGAGCTAGATTAAAGGCTAGACAAGCTTCCAGTCGCTGTCGCCACCGTCACCGCAGACCCCGAAGCCACTGCCGAGAACGCCTCCGTGGAGAACCGATGGTGTCAACAGCGAGACACGGTCCAGTCGACCGCTCTAACAGACTTCGGCCACGCACGCAGACAGGAAGGCGTTCTCGGCAGTGGCGTCGTCGGCAGCGATCCGAAGGTTGTCTAGCCGTTGAGCTAGCTCATTGCTGAAATGAAGATGGTGAGAAGCAAAGACAACAAGGCAACATTCAGCTTACCTGGGGGTCGCTTACCTTGTGGTCTCCTGCGAGGCTGTAGGCGAATACGCATCTTCGAGATGACGAGGCGATGGTCGGTCCACCCGTCAGCAACCGCAATCGCCTTTGTCACCAGCACGTCCCGCTGATCACGGCTCCGGAGGAGGACGTAGTCCAGCAGCTGCTGCTGACGCGACCGAGGATGCCTCCAGGTGGCCTTCTCTCGCTCCGGCAGACAGAAGAACGTGTTCGTCAGGATGAGGCGGTGTTCTGCGCAGGTGCGGAGCAGCAGCAGACCATTGTCGTTGGAGCCGCGGAGACCGTGGGGGCCCAGCACTCCTCTCCAGGCATTATGGTCTGTTCCGACGCGGGAGTTGAAGTCGCCGAGGACAATCAACTTGTCCGCTTTCGGCACAGTCGCCAAGAGTGCGTGCAGGTCCTCGTAGAATTTGTCTCTTGCGGCGACGTCGGGGCTGCTCATCGGCGGAGCGTAGGCGCTGATTATGGTGGCGAATTTGCCCCCACGCCTGCCGGAGAGGCAGGCGGAGGCTCATCAGGCGATCGTTGATTCCCTGCGGTAGACAGGGCAGTCGTCCCACGATGTCGTTCCGGATGGCGAAGGCGACACCCGCGTCTCGTCGCTCTGCCCTGGGTCAACCACTCCAGAAGAAGGTGTAGCCGGCACCCACCTCCTCCAATTGTCCTTGTTCAGAGAATCGGGTCTCGCTGAGTGCGGCGATGTCCACCTTGTAGCGCGCCACTTCTCGTGCCACTAGCGCCGTCCTCCGTTCCGGTCGGTTGCTCCTCGGATTGTCTAAAAGGGAACGAAAATTCTAGGCCGCCAGAGTGAGCGGGCTCACCCTTTCAGTCTGGGGACAACGAGTGGGGCGACTAGAAGGAGGTGGAGAAGAAGATAACGAAGGAAAAGTATAGGCAGAAGAATAGACGGAGGAAGGTGAAGAAGAGTTAGCATGAGGAGAATGAGTATATTTGCTATTGTTATTGGTTTTGTTGTTGTTTCGATTTCGATTGTTTCGAACATGTTTAGTTGTCTGCGGCCGTGGCTAGCCTGGAAACGGCGTGGTGCACAGCAATTTTTAGGCCACCTTTTCTAGGCCCTTCCCCTCGTGGGTGCTGGCAGTGCCACCACTGAATAGGGCTGCCATGAGCCGATTGGCTCGGCCGAACTCCAATATGGGACCACGACTATATGTTTGTAGTGGAGAGCGACTCGAATTCGCCGTAAGCTGTGGCCTCCAACGGCGTAGGTGGGCGCGTCAAGGCGAGGTCGAGTAGGAGTTCAATAGCGTCACCGGCAGTCCAGCGGAGTGCAGAGACGAACAACGTCACGACGGTGCCGATGCAAGGTTCAATCCGACCTTCTATTCAGCGGAGTCCGCAAAACCTGTACACACGGCACAGCGCACAGCGCAGTCACCGGATTTAGCCCGACGGTCGAGACGGTTGCCCGGGGTGTGGCCGCTGAGCAGAGCCCAGCTACGTGGAGCCACAGGTGAGAGTTGGGTGCCAGCAAATGTACGCTAGGCGTAGGCTCACCTGCAAGCAAGTGAGCGACCACTACGACCTTCACGTGAACCCAACACTGACACCCTACACCCCCCCCCCACACACACACACACGACAGTTCGTCCGTCGGTTTCGACGATGACCACCGTGTGCCCCACAGCTGCAGCAGCGGTGGGAGCAGGGACGGTGACTTGCGCAGGGGTTTATAGTGCCGGTAGACTTGCGCTGCATCTACCTACACTCTCTCCTCCTCCCCCGCCTGGGCCCGGTGTCAAGACAGAGTCAAGAAGACCGGAGACGAGGGAGGCCGCAGGTGGATGGCTCGGACGGATCCTCGCCTTGGCGTTCCACCACACCCCCTGGTCCACACAACAATAACCAGGATTTCAACCAACACAACGGAGATTTGGAGGCTGGCACGGCCGAAGCCGCACCTGGGCGTGCCGCCAACGTCTGGCTCGGATCCCACATTGTGGTGGGAATGCCATAAAGGCCACATTAAAAAGGAGCCATTGCAGCCTGACTCTCAGACCGCCTCCCGTTAAGGAGTAGGTCCAAGGTACCCCGTCAGTTGGCAACCTTCCAAGCCACGGCTTTTAGCGCACCGTGATAGCTTCAAGCGCTTCAGATTGATTATAGTGAGGAAAATGCGCTGAGTCGTCGACCTCACTCTCCCTTCCCATTCCCACACCCCAGCCACTGTCCGAGCCGGTCAGTAGACTGGAGTGGGGAATGGGCGCGGTGGCTGACATGGTCGACTGACCATGCCTGCGCGCGCCACAGCACGACCTGGCCCCCCATACACACACAAACACCAGGATTTCACACAACGGGGGTAGAACGGCGTGTCTCCCACTTGCGTGAGAGGGCCGTGGAAGGTGCTGTTGCAGCCCGTCCTCAACCCACCAGTCCGCCACTACACACAACACACACACATAACGTGACGGACTGCGTGAACCGAGAGCGGGCCTCAATCAGCAACCTTCCCATCCACCACACTTGACGTGTCGGGATAGTCTTGGACACAAGTCACCCGTGCAGCCGAAACTGCATGGGGACCGAGTCGAGATGCACACTTCCCACTTGCGTGGGAGGCGGCAGTTGAGTGCATGAGGTGTGTGGGGGTTGATGTCTGGCGGGTGATGGTGTTAGGAGGTAGAGAGTGAGGGAATGTGTGGTGTGACCAGCGGTTGTCTACCGCAGGTCGTCGTGGATGCGCATGTGGCCGAATAGACCCATGCGATGCCTGAAGGTGCGAGGGCAGTGTGGGCAGTGGAGGCGAGTGCGGTGAGTGTAGGTTGGTGCTCCAGGCACTGGTTCGCCAGTCTCTGTGCGATGGATTCGCAAGTGACCGACCAGGCCGATGCGTGAGGTGAAGGTGCGATCGCAGTGAGGGCAGATGTAGTCCTGGCCCTCACGTCTGATGATGGAGGTTGCAGGGGTTGTGCCTGTTGTTGTGTCAGGTTCGGCTGTGGTGAAGTCGTGGGCGACAGACGCCGAAGCGGCCGTCGTTGTGGCAGTGAAGGAGAAAGAGGAGGATTAAGGGGAGGATTGGGGGTGGTAAGGTGGGTGGCGTCGATGTCGGCTGGGGAGTGGTTAGTGGGTGCACAATGTGATGGATTGGGAGTGGGGCTCGGCGGGGTGGGTGTGTCAAGGCTGCGGTCAATTCCGCTCTCTTGGATGCGCATGTGGCCGAACAGGCCCTTGCGGTGTGTGAAGGTGCGAGGGCATTGTGGGCAGTGGAGGCGAGTGCGGTGGGTGTAGGTTGGTGTTCCAGGCACTGGTTCACAAGTCTCTGTGCGATGGATTCGCAAGTGACCGACCAGTCCGATGCGAGAGGTGAAGGTGCGGTCGCAGTGAGGGCAGGTGTAGTCCTGATCCTCATCACACATCGACAGCGGGCGTCACTCAGCAACCTTCCTATCCACGACACTTGACGTGTCGGGATAGTCTCGGACTCAAGTCGACCCTGCAGCCGATGCCGCATGTGGACCGAGTCGATATGCACGCGTCCCACTTGCGTGGGAGGTGACAATCGGGTGCATGAGGTGTGTGAGTGTTGATATGTGGTGGTTTGATGGTGGTGGTTGGAGGTATGGAGTGAGTGAATGTGTGGTGTGGCCGGCGTTTGTCTACCTCAGGTCGTCGTGGATGCGCATGTGGCCGAATCGGCCCACGCGGTGTCTCAAGGTGCGAGGACATTGTGGGCAGTGGATTCGAGCTTGGTGGGTATAGATTGGTGCTCCAGGCACTGGTTCCCCAGTCTCTAAGCGATGGATTCGCAAGTGACCGACAAGGCCGATGCGTGAGTTGAATGTACGTGGACAGTGTGGACATGAGAATTCGGCGGTGTGAATGTCAACTATGGAGGAGTCGGTGGTGGTGTTGGTGATTGCGGTTTTGGTGGTGTTGGTGGTAGTGGTGTTGGTGGTGGTTTTGGTTGTGGTATTGGTGGTGGTGGTGGCGCAGATTTTTGGAGCGATGGTGGGGGTGTGCACAGTGGATGTGTTGGATGTGGTTGGTGTGTTGAAAGTGCGGTCAATGCCGCTCTCGTGGATGCGCATGTGGCCGAATAGGCAGAACAGTAGGCAGAAGAATAGGCAGAGGAATAGGTAGGAGAGGTAGGATGAGGAGAATCATTATGGTTGTTGTTGTTATTGGTATTGCTGTTGTTTCTATTTTGAGTGTTTCGACCGTGTTTTGACATCTGCGGCCATGGCTAGGCTGCAAACGGCCTGGTGCCCAGCATTTTTTTAGGCCACCTTTTCTAGGCCCTTCCCCTCGATGGGCCTGGCAGTGCCGCCCCTGTATCGCGCTGCCGATTTGCCTGGTTGGCGCGACCGTATCCCACTATGGGGCCACGACTTTGATGTTTGTAGTGGAGAACGGCCGCATATGCCGTTAGTCCGCGGTCTTCGTCGGCGAAGGTGGACGCGTCTCAGCGAAGGCGATGCGGAGGCCGTCCCGGCAGCAGTTGTCCAACTGCGTACCAGGCAGAGCCTAGTCTCGACGATGCCGGCGCAGTGTTTCATCCGACCATCCGTCCAGCGGAGTCCGAAGTACACTGTGCACGCGGCACAAACGCACAGCTTCCTCACCTGGTTTAGACGGCCGGTCGAGGCGGTTGCCCGAGTTGGGCCGCTGGGCTGAGCCCAGCAACGTGAAGCCACATGTGAGAGTTGGGTGACAGCAAATGGACGCTAGGCGTCCTCTCACCTGCAAGCAAGTGAGCAACCACTACGACCCGCACGTGAACCCACCGCTGGACACCCCTACATCCCACACACTCACACACAGAGGTTGGTGCTCCAGGCACTGGTTCGCCAGTCTCTGTGCGAAGGATTCGCAAGTGACCGACAAGGCCGATGCGTGAGGTGAATGTACGTGGACAGTGAGGACATGAGAAGTCGGCGGTGTCAACGTCAGCTACGGAGCAG